TGCTCAGTCTATTTTCAAATACCATTCCTCTTTATCTCACTGTCTCACAATCCCTTTCTCCCCCCAAGAAATGTCAAATTCCATCTTGAAATTGCCCATATTCTGTAAACCACCACAACTTCAGCTGCCAAATATCCAACTTGTTAAACACAACTTATTATTTGTAAAGTAATATTAAATCCATCTGTTGTATTCATTGGCTGTCATTGGTTTTGAATACTAGCTTGTCCAGAACCATTAGGTTATAGATTTCAATCAGTTGGCAGCACTCTCACTTCTGGTTCAGAAGGTTGTCGGTTCAAACCCCAGATCAGGACTTGGAGACATATAGTGCTGGGCTGTGTCTCATTATCGGAGGTGCTGTCCTTCAAATGAGACATTAAACTGCGGTGCCATCTGCCTGTCCAGGTGGACGATCCCAGTATTCAAAAATAGAAGGGAATTTCTCTCTCAGTCCTGGCCAACAATTCTCCAAATAAAAATGGTCATTCACTCCATAGTTGTTTGTGGCACGTTGCTGTGTTAACAACTGGCTGCCGCATTTGCCCACAAAATGAACAGTCATTACACTTTACAGTATATCCTGTGAAACCTTTTGAAATGATGATGTGAGAAGGGGGTTTATCAAATGGCAAGTTTTATTATTGCATGTGTACTTTAGGAGGAAATCCAAACTTATCTATTATAGAGAACCCAAATTTAGGACAGTAACTGTAGTTGCATTCATTAGGATACAGAATGCTTCATTACGATCAACAAAAATGAGCATGTATATAACAGCATTCATACAATATGTCTATGGTTGGAAGGGTTAATCCAAACTTAGGGCAGCAAATTCTGTTCATATTTCAAGGGCAAACAGTTCAACCTCTGCTGTCATGGCTTGGAATAGTTGAAAATTATTGACATGAACACTTTGGCACTGAAGCACTGTAGATATGGCAGAGAACCATAACACATTTTTATATTAACTGTTTTATGGACTGTTGGATATAAAAATCAAATGCAGCAGTTTGGGACATGATGCTAGTCTTTAATGTGCCAAGAAGCCTATATGATGTACCCCAAGCAGGCTATTTTAGATTGTGAACAGAGGGTGAGGGGATTGGGGTGACAGGTTTAAAATTAGTCCACTAAGACCTGGCAATAGAAGCTTTTTTTTGCACCTCCCCCAAGTAATTGAAATGTTCTACAGACTCTCAGCAAAAGCAGTTAATGCTGTGTTCATTAATTCCTCCAAAAATATCTGCTTGGGAATTGGGAATTGGAAATGCAATTGCAATGCTGGTGGACACGAGTTACTATCTGTAGCAAACAGCAGGCTGGGGCTAAAGTGGTTTGGCAAGCTTCCCATTGCTTGTACAGCTAGGACCACCCTACCTATTAGGGCTTTGGCTTGCAGGATTAACAGCAGTTGAGTGGGAAGGATCCTTGCTCTCAGCGACTGCCTTCTCTTCCAAATCTCGCTATTGAGTCAACCTTGCTGATCTATCATAAAACAGTGCTTTGGATTACTGTGAACCTGCTTCGCTCAGGGACCCTTTTACCTAAACTGCCACAAAAGATCAACTCTATTCTGATATCCCATTGCCAACCTGTCACCTTGGAGTCAGTTCAGCCTCAAAGAAGAGTGGAGATATGGAGATAGATAAATATTCTGGAGTTTTTCTTTGATTACCATTAGTTTATATGCCTGAGTTTCACGAAGGAGATGAAATATGTGGGTTAAGAGTTCTTGCTAGAGTAGATTCATATATACCATGTGTGGAAGCAGCTTGGGGGCAGACAAACCCAAACATTGGATCATTTACAAAGGAACAAAATCTTGCATAGAAAGAAAGTATTTTTTGGCTATGCAGGAAAAAAGCACTATCGTAGAAGTCAGCAAACTAATGCAACAATCTCCAATAGAACCTGCACCTAATTCTCTCCTGAATTAGGTAAGCAGTGTGTATCCCTCCAAGGAAAATTTCCATTCAAAGGAATCTCCATGTGTAGGTGACATGCATGGAATTCTCAGTCTGGTCTGGATACCCTTAAGCATGGTGATGAATTTACAACAACAACAACAACAACAAATTGCATTTTACATCGGGAGGACGTGAAAGACTTTGTATAAATGCAATTTGTTCCCGTGGGTGTCAGGCACCCAGCTGGACAAAAAAAAAAGCCTTTGGTGGCTGTAATTTTTTGCATTTACAATTTTTTAGTAATTTATTGTTTTAGAAACTAGCATCAATGGCATAAAAACAGATTAGGTAATTTGGCGTGGAAACGTATGAGATAATATATTCTTAAAACTAAAACGCTGTATTTAATAATGTTAAGCAGTTACATGCCACTATTATTAGCAGTGCACTGTAAATTTTGAAAATAAATTAAAGGGGGTTGTTTTTGTTATTAATTAGGGTTTGAAGCAATTGCTCTGTCTCTAACTTTCATAAACCAAATAGCCCTAAAACACAGCTTCTGAGAATGGTGCAAATAAATTATTAGCAAAAGACAGCAATTATGGTTGGGATGTCTGGTCTCCTGTGTTTCCAAGGAACAGCTCTCTAGTTCAATTCGTTATTCACCTCCTGGTTGTTTCTGGGGTTGTGTTAGTAGATTGTTGGTTCAAGCCCCATACCAGGACTTGGAACTATCATAGTGTAAGCTGATACTGTATTGCAGTGCCTGAATTGTGCTGCTAAGTTTGAGGTGCCATCCTTCAAATGAGACATGAATCCGAGGCCCGACTACCTAGTCAGATAGACATTAAAGATCCCATGGTGCAATTCGAAAAGAGATGGGAGTTTCTTCCATATCCTGGCCAAACAATCCCCCAAATACAATTGGTCACTCACTTCATGGCTGTTTGTGGGACATCCCTGTGCACAATCTTGGCTGCCACTAAACATCCAGTCATTGCACTTTACAGTATATCCTTGAAGTACTTTGGGATGTCCTCCCAATGATATACCAAATGTAAGGATTATTAAATTTGCTGGTGTAAAAATTGCATAGAAACCTCTGGTACATGTATGCACCTTTTACCTCCCTGTCATAAGTCTTGAGTTTACCTTACCTTATGTCAGCATCTCCGATGTGAGCATAATGTAAAGATAAACCTAATATGATAAGCGAATGCAAGGCGCGATTGATAAAGGCAATACCCTAAATTTGGAAGCTGTTGATAAAATATACCTTAGAACTGAGTAAGTCTGGTAAATCTACTTATCTCTGATGCAGTTTGGGTTTTATTATTCCCGACGTGAAAGGCGCTGTACAAATGTAATCTTGTTCTTGTTATTATGACGTGGAGCTTACTTGATGGATACTTTTAGTTTATGCCCTTTCTTGTCTGACCTTGTGTCACCATCAGTACTATCATATCCCGTGTTTTACTCAAACATAAACTACCTTTTTTTCTTATTATGGAAACATTGTTTGTTGGGGTATTTTCAATGCATCTCTTTGCTTTTGCTCTGATGTGTTATCACCATTTCTCTCTAATGCCTATAATCATGAAAACCCTGTGCCTTGCAGTGTTTGATTTTATGACTGTGACTTGCTTTGATGCAAAGAAATGCGTGAAATCTGATGTAAGTGCCAGAAAGTGGAGTTGTTTTGATGGCAGATTTGCTGCTCTCATGTACAGAAAAATTGGCAGGTTGAAACAAAAAAAAAAGAAATTATAGTTTGCTAGCCTTCAGGGGGACATTTCAGCAGATCTTATCTAAACACCATCTGGAGAATTGCAATTGGTGATGTGTATGAGACCATTTTGTATCTCTCCTCCATGGAGGGGGATGGTAATCAGCATCTCATGACGTAGCTACCAATGGAGCATCTAAGAGTCACTCCTCTATGGCTTTCTCAGTAGTTCAGGTCATGAGCAGATTGGTCTGCAGTACTCCAAGGCATTGTTGATACCAGACCAGCCAGTCTTGCTCATCAGCAGGACTTAAAGGGGCAGAGCAATCACTAAGGACAGTGATTCTTCCCACTTAGCTCTTGTTAACCCAACAAGTCAAATTCCTAAGAAGTAGATTGGTCCTAGCTGGACAAGCAGCAAGAAGCTTGCCATATGACCATGGCATATCAGAGCATGTGCCAGCCTTACTATCAATTCATAGCACTCTCTCCTCTGAGTCAGAAGAGACCCACATTGGGACTTTGAACTAATAGTCCTAGCTAACATTCCAGTACAGTGCTGAGGGAGCACTACATTATCAGAGGTTCTGAAGTTTGGATGAAATGTTAAACCAAGGTCCTATCTGTCTACCAGGCAAACGTTAATTAAAGATGCCTTGGCACTATTGAAAATAAGAAGGGAGTTTCTCCTAGTGTTGTGGAAAACAATTCTCCAGATAAAATTAGTTATTCACTTCATGATGGTTTGTTGGATATTGCTGTGCGCAAATTGGTTGAGACTTTCACCTATAAATACACAGTCATTACACATGGCAGTAATTCCTATGAAGCACCAAATCGAATCCAAACCTTTTTTCAGCCTCTCAGCCCCTAGGTTCTGGAACTCTATCCCCCAGTGCCTTCGCCTTGCTTCCTCCCTTTCCTCCTTCAAGGCCGGTCTCAAGACTTTTCTCTTTGACTGTGCCTTCAGCTCCCCTCTCAACTCTCTACCCCCTCCTCACTCCCTCCATTCCCTCCCCTCACCTTGACTATTTCCCCCCAATGCTCGGGTCCTAACCCAACTGTACAGCACCTTGAGACGTCCTCCCGACGTGAAAGGCGCTCTATAAATGGAATCTTGTTGTTGTTTGTGGGATGTTGATGTCCGAATATTGGCTGTCACTTTTGCCTAAAAATACATTTGACAGCAATTACTTGGAAAACATTTTGAAATGTCTTGACGTTATCGGTAATATACCAAATGTATTATCTTTCATTATACTGTCATTCAATTTTTTTTAGTTAGTGAATAAACTATAGCGGGTTACTTACCATCTGCTTACAGCTGTCTAGTATTTAAATATCTGTTTTGTGACCTGTTTCAGGTTATTCCATACTGCAGTCGATTATGGAAAAAGCGGGTCAGAACGGCTGGCAAGTCAGTGCTATCTGTATTGAGAATTTTGATGATGCAAGCTATCGACGTCTTCTAGAAGATTTGGAACGAAAGCAGGAAAAGAGATTTGTGGTAGATTGTGAAGTAGAGAGACTGCACAACATTATGGAACAGGTAATGCTACTAGTTTACTTTGCAAACTCATTTTTAATACTTAAGTTTGGTTCCTACCCACAAAATACACAAGTACAATATATTCTTTGAAGCCCTTTTGAGAAGTCTGAACGATGTGGCAACTCGCTAAATCAAATCCAAAGATTATTATTATGATAGTTTCACGTGTATATCCACAAGCCATTACCGATCCAAAGCGTTTTATAAAAATATAAACATTTGCTTATTGATTTAACAAGTAAACGCTGTGCAGGAAAATTGCCTGGCTGCAAACCTCAGCAAACCTTCTCTCCAGAAAGCTCCTTGTTGGCAACACATAAGACTTTGTGACTGCAGCTGGGTGTCAGCATTAGATCAGAGCTAAAATAAGCTTAGCATTGATTCAGAGGAGACTGTGGAGTTGCATTGAAAGAAAGCTGTTCATATTCTAAAAGCTGAAACAGAAACCATTTTGAGATGCCTTCCTTCCTTCTACTTCTGGTGAATAATAACTCTGCACCTCAATGTTACAGCACTCGTGGCATTTTAAAGAAATGTCAATGATGGCTTCCTTCCTTCAGTCAATGGGTTTTGTCTTTTGAAAGGAACACGTGCAGTGACTGTGCTAACTGTTAGATTACCAATACTGGCTGGTCACCAAACTTGACAAGTGATTGGCTTGCATTAATCTTTTGGATTCTTTGAATAAATGGGCTAATGTAGAACCAGGGGTGCTTCTGGCAGTCTGTCTACATCAATGAATGCCTTTTTGTGGGCATGCTGGGCCAACAGAAAAAAAAAAAGTACAAAGTAGCATTTTTTAGCTTTTGCCTACTGGATACCAGGAGCTTAAAAATAATGGCAGAACCTGCATCTTGAGAATAAGAGATTTTCTAACTTCATTTAATAACAATGTACTTGAGCCTTTAAAGACCCCTTATAAAATTTGACGCAGACTTAATCTTGTCTGAAGTAACATTCTTTGATTCCTTTTTAAACTGGACTTATTACAAATCTGTAAGTTCCAATATACTATCTAATTAACCTGTCATCTTCTTTCGGTTTTTACTAAATTTAAGAAATGACTCTCTCTGGTCTTAGAAGTTGATCAGGCTCTCGGAGTCAATAAAGTATCCTGGTTTATGTCTGTGAACATCATTCCGGAAGCAAAATTTTGTGTCTCGAGCTCTCAGCCACTCACTGCAAATGCATTTCAAAGTACCTCCACTTTGAATCCTTGTTCCAGTTTCAAAACCCTTCTAAAAACTTACCGCTTCTACTGTGCCTCGGGTCAACTCTATCCAATTCCCCCTCGTTACTCAGGTTTCCACTATGTCTCTGTAAAGTGTTTTGAAATATTATGCTATGTGAAACGCAGATACATACGAGTTACTGTTGTTATACTCCTTTTACTTCAGTACTTTTAAAGGAAGTAGCGGTTATTGAAATCCACTACTGAAGCTCAAACCCTCATTCGTTCACAACAACCTAATCTTTGAACAAGACAAGATTCATTCTGTCTATCGGATTGGTTTCCAATGGCAGGTCCAATTTCTTGTTCTCTGATACCCTCATTAATCAAACCCTTTTGCTCACCACGTTACCATAGTTTTAAGCTTTCACCCCAGAGTCAAAGTCTCTCCAACCTTCCTTCGAAAAACTCTATAAAACAATTTCCTCATTGCAGGATTTTACATTTTATTCTGAAAAGTAACAGCCCTATTTGAAAATAAACTCCTTTTTTGTTTGTAGGAATCAAAGGGTACGATTTCTTGAGTACTGTGCCTTCAGAGTTGGGATGAGGATTTTGGGAGACAGTACTTGATGTCTTTGGAGGCAACAGAGCCAACTCATTTATGTCTCCTCATTCCATATCGCCATACTGCTGCCAAATGCAGGGCTGCCACCAATGGAATATACAGTATGCTACATGTAAACTCAGCATAAGATCCTTATCTGAAAAAGAGTGATCACAGTTACATAGATTACACAGAATCACGTGGCACTGAGATCATTACAGTCCAACTAGTCTGTACCAGTCTTTATGCTCCAAATAAGCATCCTCTTATTCCCTTCTCTCATTCGGCTCTATTCCCTAGTCTTTTACCCTCTATTCCATTCTCTTGTACCCCTTCTATTCCCTTCACCCTCATGTATCCATTAAGTTTTCTCTTAAATACATTCATCTGTTTTTTTTGCTTCAACCACATCTTCCAGCGGTGATTTCCACATTACCGCCATACTCCATATAGAGAAGTTTCTCCTAGACTGCCATTTAGATCTGTTACGTCTATTTTATATTCATGTCCCCTTGTTTTAGACTCACCAACAAGTGGAAACATTAAAGGTGCCGGCCTTTTAATGAATCCTGCTTATGCCAATTACCATCCACTGTATTAAGCAATGATAGCTTTTACCACAACTGTCATGATAGCTATCAACAGCTACCATATGGAATGATGATAGACGTTAGGAACAAGATTGAACAAGCAGAGGTCTATCAGTCTTTGATTCAAAAGCTCCAAAACAAAGGTTAAAGGTGAAATTTAGGCTACCAAGGACAGAGTGACTCATTTTCCTTCTCTGAATAGACATCTAAGATTCAACAGCAAAAATAAAAGCCTACAAAATATATAAAATGAATAATAATACTAAATACTTCCAGCTGACATGAAAACAGAAAGTTATGTGGGTTGGTACAAACCTAAAGGAAAGGGTCAATCCAATCTTGATTTTTAGCTTGACATTCTCTCTTCCCCCATTCCTCCCACCATCATCAAAACAAGCTCTTACTAAGCTTCCAAACGTGATCCAGTCATTTAATGCATAAAAAAAGCGGTAAAACCTCACCAGCTCGCAGCTCCAGTCCTTTGGAGCAATTCCAGGTAAACATCACTACCAGCGAAATAGCCAATTCAGCTGAATGAAACCATTTGTGTGTTTATTGTGTGAGCATTTTGTCTGTCTTTCAGTTTCATTAAAACTGAAAGTGCAGCTGTCTGTCAACAACTACATCTCAATTCAATGTAAATCCATGACCTCACTTCATAAACAGGAGTTTCTTCCAATTAATTGCAATTAATAGCATGTTTGTCAGTGCAGTGACTAAGGGAAACAAATTGAGATGCAGAAAAAGCGATTAAGCAGATTAGACTGCATTGCCAAAGTTGCTGAGAGGCTTCCTTTTACTGGATTCATTGTCCCTTTACAGAATAGACATCCTGGAAATACAACAAGGATGGTGAATGGCCGCATCCAAAGTTTCAGTCAATTTGACAAGACCCCTCATGTTCAAAGCCTTTTATTGCAATTAACCAAACCTGATAGGCAACCTTGGGGTTGACTTCACTGATTCTAAAAATAAAGATCTTTTGTTATGTCTTTATAATTCCCACTATAGAGATGTAGGCAGAAAATCTCTCTTGTAATCTTATTCTACTTTATCTTTTCAAATACCAGATTACTTTTGAAAAGGCTATGCTAGGAACTATTTATGTGCCCAGTATGCATGTGCTTATATGTAAACACTGATTGACAAGATGCCAGGAAGTTCAAAATGTATCTCATTGACTGCACTTCCGGTCCTCTTTTCTCTTGCCGGTTCCTCTGCTCCCACCACTAGCTTGGGTGTCCAGTCAGCATTGTCAAGCCCTTTGAAACTTCCTGCCAACGTGAAAGATGCAATGTAAATGTGTATTGTATTGTAAGGCTGAAATAGGAGAGAGTCTTCAGGATCTAACTTGAAAGTTATGACAACTGATCTGACAGCCCAATGTTTCACATTCTGAGGGCTAGGGAACTTCTAGCCACTTATATAACAGAATTTTTTTTTAAATAAACGACAACAAAAACAAAGAAAATTATTAAAATAAACAATTATTTAAAGGAGTACTAAATGCCCACTGATGGCTTAGTTGATAAATGTACTGCCCAAAGTAGCAATTTTGCAGAATGGGAAAGATCAACGTCTGTGCTGCCTTAGCTGATCTTAGCTGAACTGGTTTAGAAATTCAGTACGATTGTCAACAGGGACAGTTAATTTGTATTGAACAACAGATTTCTATTTGAACCATTGATGCATGTTTGTTATTTTAATAACTAAACAGTTAACTAACTAACTAACTGGGTGGTAGCTCATCTTTTTTCAGCGTGGAATTACTTATTTTCAAAAATATGATTGCCTTTGGGTAAAAGTTGTATCAGATTGTGAGGTGAAAGGTGAGGTTTGTAACAGATTCAATGTGATTCATGAAACATTGCATTTTTCACCTGTTTATTCATTCTGCTAATGTTGTGATGCTCTTTTCCTCTCTTCGCTTAGATTGTAAGTGTTGGAAAACATGTCAGAGGTTACCACTATGTCCTGGCCAACCTGGTGAGTAACAAATAAGTTGTCTGATTGTTCATTTCAAACATGAATTTTAAATGAATGTAAGATTAAATTTCCAAATGGCTGCTGTGGTTGAGACTGGAATTGAGTTACACAAGTTCATGGTTTAAATCAGGGTGGTCCAACTTTTGGCTGCTGAGGGCCGGATGCTCTATTTGAGAAACACCCACGGGCTGCAAAAGCAATATTTTTGTGTTTCCTTTCCAGAAACATAACATAACATTTACGGGTTATGGTTTGGGCAATGGGCAGCTTATTCAAATCCCTCCACATCCTCATTCCCTCCTACTTTTGAGACATCCTACTCAACCCAGACACTCGCTCTCCTGAGCTAACAGCGCCTGCTTCCTGTCCCATCGGTGGGTGTTTTCAGCCATTCAGCCCTCACTTACTAGGACTCCAACCTGGAGTCCTTCCTTTTAAAATTCAACTTAAGACCTACCTTTTTGACCCCACTTTTGGTCATCTTTCACCCTGTCCCCATCCTCCTCAATTTCCCATTCCCCCTTCCAACTCAGTTGCCTGGTCAGTCGTGTGAAGCACTTTGCAACGTCCTTCTGATGTGAAGGCTGCTGTAATGTGTATCAATGTAAATTGTTTGTGTTGTTATTACATCATAAATGAAAAAGTAATTATGCATTTAAAATATTGTTAAATACATAACAGCTAATTTGCTACATTAAAGAAGGGAGCAAAATAGCTCAGTGTCGATCAAATTTACCAAATTTGTGGCGAGTATTAGAATACCTTCCACTGTTTACAAGAAAATATGCATTAGTTTCTCATTACTTCTAAGCCATCGGTCTATAACCATGGTGACACTTCTTGTGATTTACAGGGCTTCAAAGATATAGCCTTAGACAGATTCATGCACGGAGGAGCTAATGTGACAGGCTTCCAAATAGTGGATTACAGCAAACCCATTGTTACTAAGTTCATGCAGCGCTGGAAAAAACTGGACCAGAGAGAATTTCCTGGGACGGACAATGCTCAATTGAAGGTACAAATGTAACATTAACAAAATGCTAGAGAGGTACACAAATGTTAAATAACATATACACACACATATATATAAATATATGTGTAAGAATACTAAAAATATAGGGATGATTTTCTAACCAGTGGTAAATGTATTGACTTTGGCAGGTCTAAGCTAATTTAACAATCTTGGCTATTGTCAGAGGAGGTAAACTCAGTCTCTTTGGAGCTGAACTTATTCCAAAATGACATGCCTTGTGATAATCCAGGTGATCCTCTATGGTCACCTCAGTTGTCGAGTACCTGAGCCTGGCAGGTCTGCAACACTCCAGGGTACTGTTGGTGACAGATCATTGAATCTGGGCTGGAAAGGTAGACTGGGGACAGCGTTTTTTCTGTTCGGCTCTGTTTAGGATGGTGAATGGCCGCATCCAAAGTTTCAGTCAATTTGACAAGACCCTTCATGTTCAAAGCCTTTTATTGCGATTGACCAAGTTGCAGTTTTAGCTGGCTAACCTCCAATAGCACCCCAATGCATACTCTGGGGTACCCTAAGTCTCAGCTCTTGCCAAAGTGTACTTAAACAGTTGGCAAGCTTCCCACTGCTTGTCGAGCTCGGACCACTCTACCTGGCACTCTACCTGTTGGGGCTCTAACCTGCAGGATTAATAGGAGTTGAGTGGGAAGAAATCCAGCTGCTAGAATTTCCAGTGAGCTCAGTTGGCTGGTCTGTCATCAACGGGGCTTTGGAGAACCGTGATCCCACTTGCCTCAAGAACTGGACTACTGAGAAGGTTTCCTCGATTCCTACATTCCATTACCAGCGTACGACTTTCCAAAATTGAATGTCCAGTCAATCTGTACTATTTTGGGAACCTCAAGCTCGTCAATTGTGGAGTGGGCCTGACCAAAGCCAAGTACCAAGCTTCCTGCTCACTTCTCAGACATGGTGGAGTCCTGCAGTGTATTGGCTAGAGTGCTCATTTCGCAATGAGAGAACCCAGGTTCGATTCCCGAGCAGGGCAAAACTTCAGGCACGTCTCCTTACTCCACATGACTCTGTTTACCTAGCAGTAGTGGGAACCCCGGTGTTAGTTAATTGGTGGATTGCTTTCCGGGGGTAATAATCCCTTCAAAAAATAATAATTTGGTCAGTTAATCCATGACTGTTTGTGTAGTACAGGGCTGGATAACATCTATTTGAGCCAGAGCACCCTCCAATGCTACAATTTAAAATGCCTCCATTGTCACCAATGAAAATCCTCTGTGTCATACATGAACATGGCTAATATGGTTTCATTAAAATTGACCTGCAATGCCTTTTTTTAAACTCTTTAACTCTTTTTCTCTGTGGAGATCAAGTTCTGTGTGTTGGTCTTGAGTAGTGTCTACACTCTACAGCATTTCTCTGGGGTACTGCATGTTATCGGAAAGATCTGCAACTGCAGCCACACTTATGTAAAGTAATTATTCATATATTAAGTTCGATAGAAACCAGGGTAACTTGTTCATTGAAGAAGTGCCAGCATGCATTGCAGGGGTCAAAATTCCTATTGGGACTGTAGAAACAGCTCAGAATCATTCAGGTTGAGAAGAGCAAACTTGGGAATAGAATTGCATAACATTAGTTACAGATCAAATCTGCTATAATTCAAATAACTATGAGGCTCCAGTCTCCGCTTGCTTAGCACAGTATGAAATACTAGATCCCATATCCTGGCTTTTTTCCCCCCCATCTTCGTCAACTTTATTCTCTCGTAACCATGTGTCCAGGATATTTTTGTTGCTGTCCCAACAACTGGCAGCAACAGAGAATCCCACACTCTTACCACTCTCTTTGTGAAAATCTCCATTCTGCACCTACTCAAGCCAAGTGTCTCAAAGCGCTTCACAGAGTTTGCTCTGTATTTGAAGCATCAAGAAAGTGATAGAACTATGGCCAACAATCCCTCAGATAAAATTCACCTTTTATTTCAGGGCTTTTGTGAGATGTTGCTTTGTCAAATTAGCTGTCGGGTTCGCCTATAGAATACACAGTCACTACATTTCATAGTAAATCTTATGAAGCACTTTGAGACATCCTGCCAATGTAAAAGGCGATAGGTAGGAGTCCCGTAATGTAGTGGTTAACGCACTCCTCGCAACTGAGAGGATCCAGTTCTGATTCCTGGGTGGGGCAAAACCTTAGGCAAATTTCATTACTCCACACGCACCTGCTTACCTAGCAATAAGTAGGAATCCATTTGTTAGTCGATTGAGGCATCGCTTCGGGATAATAATCCCTCCAAAAAAATAAAATGTGGTCACTCAATCCACGACTGTTTGTGGGACACTCCTGTGGGGTGTTTAGCCCACAAAATACAAAGTCAATCCACTTTACAATATATTCTTTGCATGCTTTGAAACATCTCAATGATATGATAAAGCACTATATCAAATGAAAAGATTATTATTATATCAAAAGCAGGGATTATTACTATTTAAGTTTGCACAGTGAAACAAAACAGCGAGAGTTTCAGAAAGTGTCTTGAATTTATCAATGATTTAAATCTTGTTGAGTTTTGTTTGACTGGTTAGGAAGTTGAATTTGCAAAATTGTGTTGCCTCTTTTATTTCTGCTTCACAACTGACTGTTATGTAGGCTGGACATTGACCCGAACTCGTGGGTCTTTATAATGAGAACTCTTTAACAAAGGCCACAAACTCAAGCTCAGTAAAAGAAAGGTGAACAACCTCTTAGAGAAACAAGTTTCTACAAATAAATTGGTTGTTCACGTAATAACAATCCTTGCATTTGATGGTTGTTTGTGGGATATTAGATGCAAATTGACTACTTGCATTCTCCTACAAATACACAATCATTTCATTCGACAGGAATTAACTGGGAAGCGCAGTGATACACTTCAGCATTATGGGTGCAATTTCAAATACAAAATGGAAAGATTATCATTGAATTGCTTTAGACTTTACAGAGAGTAGTAAATAAGTATGATTGAATACCCAAGGAAGGAGTGGATGCAGATTGTACTAGAAAATTCAAGAGGGAATCAGCTTTTTGACAAAGAAATGGGTTGAGAGATGTGACAGGAAGGGAGGCTAACATAGGATCATATTTCACTTTGGAATTGACGAGAGTGACTGCAGTGTTCTTTTCCAGTCCTGTATGCCTACAAAATACGCAGTCACTACACTTCACATTAAATTGTGTGAAGCACTTTGATACATCCTACCAATGTGAATTGCGCTATATCAAATGCAGAGGTTATTACTATTTAAGTTTGCACAGTGAAACAAAATGGCGAAATATTTTGCTACTGTTATATTACTATTGAAAACAAAGAATCTAAGTTCAATGCAAATACACATCTGCCTTTAATTCATACATATTTGTAAGAATCTGATTTTATTCCCAAGCCCCAGCTCCTGTTTTTTGAAGTACCTGTATCTTCAGTATATCCTGTCAATATAGTTTCCCAATGACTTTGTAACAACACATTCTATTCCACTTGTGGTTCGCTGTTAAGCACATAACAGACAGTAGAATAAAGCTTTGCTCTCTGTACCTCAATTTGACCCCACTGCTTCAGTACAATAAGGTTTCAACTCCATTTCATCGCAGAAGCTTCATTTTTAGTTTCTACTTTTGTGTTCAATACCTTTATTCCCATTCCCACCCCCACACGCTGAATGCTCCAATAAAGCCCACATCAATCAAAGACTTAAATTTTGCACATGCTAAAGAAACAGCATTTTCTGAACTGTCCTCTTATATTCAGCTGGCTGTACTTCACTGTTTCATCAACTGTATTGTGTTGTTCCTGCTTCTTACACTAAATACATCCAATCATCCCACTATTCTGTTTCCAATTTGATCCTATTCTGCTTCAGAGGCATCAGGGCTGGTTGGCAGCTGCAATTGGGTCCAAATGATATGGATCATTAGTCTCATGTAATGCACTATCATCTTCCAATTCCAACCGTCCAGCTCACGTGACATGCCTTTGCCCTTGAGTAAAGATTCTTCAATGTTACAGATTGCTTCAGTGCGGCTGGTATTTTGACTCAGATCCCCGTTGCTGCCATCGCCGAACTGGTGATGAGAAACATCAGCTTCACACAGAGTCCCAGGAATTGTGCACATTACATTATGTTACAAAAGCATTTGGAGGAAATGGACAATGGAAGAAATTGCAGTGTGGGAATGGAACGTACTTGTGAATTTCCAGCACTTGTTTACAGGCAGCTGCAGGATACTCAAAAAACTGAAATAGTTTTGTGAGCTAAGGGTGAAATTGGTTTTGAAAATAATGAATTGGAGGTAACCCACCAATTTCCAGCCTGAGGTTTCAAAATAAAACCTTTACACGTTTTTTTGTCACAGAATCTGAAACCTTCTGGTATTTTTTTAAAATGAATACACATCAGGGTCATAAATTCATCAAACCTTTTGCACACACCTTCAGCATACACTGGATAGCTTCCCCCAAAGGCTTAGTGGGTAAAAGCATTAACCATGAGTGCAAAACCATGGAAGATACAAGCTTGACTGCTGCCCTGAGTTAGCTGATTCGGATCTGGTTGTAGAAAATGAAACAAAGTACCTGTTCCTGGTTCCTACTTTAGGACTTTGAACCTGTATAGTCTCTGCTGACACTGCAATGCTGTGCTGAGGGTGTGCTGCATTATTGGAGGCACCATCCTTCAGATGAGATGTTTTAAACGAGGCTTAGTTGATCTGCCCTTCAGGTTGATATTAAAGATCTCATGTTCAAAAAGTGAAGAGAGTTTCTGGTCAACAACCTCTCAAATAAAAATTAGGCACTCATTTCATGGCTGTTTGTGGTTCATTGCTGTGGGCAAATTGGTTGCCGTGTTCACCCTAGAAAAAAAGTACAATCACTATACTTTACAGTATATACTGTGGAGCATTTTGATATATTTCCCTACGTGAAAAGCGCTATATCAAATGTCAGGTCTCACAAATGAATATTAGCCACTTGGGCAAGGTTCCAGGAACCTGTG